ATGTTTGAACCTAGCAAGGCTACCCAGATTGCAAACGAGATGAGAAAGTATCACATTGAGGCGCTAGGAATTTGTGAAAGCAGATGGAATGGAAGTGGACTCTCCAAACTGTCAACTGGAGAATCAATAATCTCCTCCGGTCACCCAGATGACAACCATGTGCACACTGAGATTTGGAGTGGTTATCATGATGTCTCCAACAGCATCGAAGCCTCTCATGCAGTTGGAACCAATCTCCTCCAGCATCAGGATCATAACAGCAAGGTTCAACTCGAAAGGAAGGAAAGTCACAATCATACAGTGCTACGCCACCCACCTACAAATAATGCAGAGCGAGAGAAAAAGGAGGAATTCTACAGACAACTTCAATCAACACTGGACAAGACGTCAGTTGGCGATATTAAAACTCATTCTAATGGGCGACATGAATGCCAAACTGGGAGCGGACAACACAGGAAGCGGACTAACCATGGGTCGAGAAGCGCTCGGTGAGGTGATGGACGAGAATGGAGAATCCTTTGCAGAATTCTGTGCATTCAACGATTTGGTGATTGGAGGCCAGGCAGTGTGTTCAAGCACAAGGATGTCCACAAAGCGACATAGATTTCACCAGACACCAGGACAGGACACTAAAAATCAGATCGACTTTATCTCAATGTGAAGAAAATGGAGATGCAGCCTACTTGACACAATGTCAAGAAGAGGAGCAGATGTAGGCTCAGACCACTATCTAGTGCAAGGAACCTTCGAAATCAAATTGAAAGCCTTCAAGGAAGTTGGTGATGGACCACAGTTCAAGTTCAACACCCAGAACATAAACTGAAGGACGAAACTACAAAGAAAATCTTCGCGTCAGCCATCAAGACAAAATGGGAGATATCGAGCAACATTCCTGAATAAACCTGTGTGGAAGAACTCTGGAAGTCTTTGAAAGCTATGTGGAAAGAAACCTGCATAACCGTGTAAGGAAGGAAGAAGAAATAAGATAAGCAATGGATTTCGATGGATACATGGAAGCTGACAAAGGAGGGACAGGAGGATGGTGAAGCCAGTGCAAAGATGCACAACAAAAAGATGAACTGAGTACAATGTATAAAACACTGGACAAAGAAGTGAAGAAGATTGCGCGAAAAGACAAAAGACACTGGCAATTGAAAAGTTACCAAGGAGATAATTATTAGCGTAACGTAAATTAGCAAGGTGTAATCAAGCAAAAATCACCGGGTTATGCTGAAAAAGGAACCTGTGTGGAAGAACACTGGAAGTCTTTGAAAGAGATGTGGAAAGAAACCTGCATAACCGTATTAGGAAGGAGGAAGAAAGAAGACAAGGAATGGATCTCGACGAATACCTGGAAGCTGATAGAGGAGAGGAGGATGGTGAAGCAGAAGATAAACCAGTGCAAGGTTGCTCAACGACAAGAGGAACTGAGCACATGTATAAAACACTACACTAGACAAAGAAGTGAAGAAGAGTGCACGAAAAGACAAAAGACACATCTACGAAACACTGGCAAGTGAAGCAGAACAGACTGCAGGTAAGAGAGACCTGACGACATTGTATCAAATAACCAGGTTGCTATCAGGGAAGAGATCAACGCAGATGAAACCAATAAAAGATGATGAAGGAAATTTAATTACGAAAGAAGAGAAACAAAGGAAACGATGGGCCGACCACTTCAAGAAGCTCTTGAATCGACCACCACTACCACCTACAACTCGTCCAGAAATACCACCAGCAGCACAGCCACAGAACTACAAGTGAACATAAGCCCTCCGACCAAGGCCGAAGTTCTGAGAGCCATAAAGCTACTGAAATGCGGAAAAGCAGCAGGACCATATGGAATCCCGCCAGAAGCTCTGAAAACAGACGCATGGACAACAGCAGACGTGCTCACACCACTATTGCATAAAGTCTGGAAGGGAAGGTACCTGCCAATTGCTTGGAAGAAGGGGTACCTCGTCAAACTCCCAAAGAAGGGAGACCTAAGTGTTTGCAAGGACTGGCGCGGAATCATGCTCCTGTCCACCCGTAGCGAGCAAAATATTAAGCTGCATCATCCTGGAGAGACTAAAGGATGCACTGGATTCAAAACTACGACCGGAACAGGCTGGCTGGCTGGATTCAGGAAGTACAAATCATGTGCGGACCAAATTGAAACGCTTAACATCATCATACAACAGAGTATAGAATGGCAGTCAACTCTCTACATCACCTCAACTTCATCCACTTTGAGAAGGCCTGCGACAGCGTCGACCGTGAAGTAATTTGGCAGACAGCTGCTTCAACACTACGGAATACCACAAACCTTTATCAACCTCATTCAGCAACTATATGAAGACGCCACATGTCAAGTAATTCATAATGAAAAGCTCAATGAGGCTTTTGAAGTGAATACAAGAGTAAAACAAGGTTGCTGCCTACTGTCACTCATGATATTCCTGATTGTGGTCAAATAGACTGGATCATGCAACAAACAGTGGGGAGCGAGAAGAGGGGGATTTACTGGACCGGGGAAAAGATCCTAGAAGACTTGGATTTCGCCGATGACTTGTGTCTGATGTCGCACAAACTGGAAGATCTACAGGCGAAAACTAACAAGTTGACAGAAGAGGTGAAGCAGTGCAGCGAAGACGGGACTTCAAGTGAATATAGAGAAGACAGAGGTGATGAGGATACCCAACCAACGCCACCACCAACAATCTCTAATCATCATCAACGGGAGAAACTTAAAGGAAGCAGCCTCCTTCACCTATCTAGGCAGCACTGTTTCAACTACAGGCGGCACAGACGAAGACGTCAAAGCCAGCCAGGATGGGAAAAGCAAGACAGGCATTCATTAGCCTGAAACCAGTGTGGAGGTCTTTTGCACTCAGCATAAAGCGTGAACAACATCCGGATTTTCAACACCAACGTCAAGTCAGTGCTTCTGTGTGGCTCAGAGACTTGGCGCGTTTCGAAAGGGATTTGCAATAAACTACAGACATTCATCAAAAACTGCTTACTCTGGCTCGTTACTGGAGCTCAGATGGCCAGAATAATAAGAGTAAGCAACAAGGAACTCTGGCTGGCTGGCAGCGTACCAACCAAGAAGCTATCGCTCAACAAATATGCACTGGAAGGGAGTGGAGATGGATTGGGCACACACTGAGAAGGCCAACTGGGGACATCACGCATCAGGCCAGTTGCTCGAGTGGAACCCAGATGGGAAGCGACGAGTTTGGCTTCTGTGCGAAGGGTGACATGGAGGAGATTGTGCGAGGAGGAAATGAGAGCTTGTGGGCTGTCATGGAGCCAGGTCCAAAAGATTTCAGAGAACAGAGTGCACTGGAGACGTGCTACTGAGACCCTATGTTCCATTAGGAACCCAAGGGACGAATAATAATAATAGAACTGAAAAATTGAACGCATACCTAAATGGCTTGAAAAAGAATTTAACACACAAACTTTGATGAGCACAGGTGATGGACATCCATCTTCATCTATAGCAAAATATATCATCGAAATGAATCATAAGGTGAATACGAAAACAACATTCAAGATATTATATACGATTAGTCAAAGGTGCATACTGAAATTTACCGAAGTGTTAGCCGTTCGTGAAGTGAAACCCCTTATTGAGTGTACAAAGACAATTTGTTATTTCACTTGATTCACCTTGGTAATCCTTAGTAATCTGATTATATTACCAAAACTAGTTATTGAATGTCACAACCTTTCAATATTCATTATATTTCACATATAAATTTCATATATAAATTGACTTGACAAGTAAATGTGTGGGGGATCAGATGGCTCGAAATGTATTGCGCAAATACATCACAGATTTTTCAGATAAACTTCATCTTTAAGTTGCGTTATCGAAATTCCAATGATTGCTGAAAATGATATATTACCACCTGTTGGTACAAATAAAACACAGTCATGTGATGAGAACCACTTTTAGTCCTCGGTGGCAGGGGGTGGGGTATCAGTTGTTATTTTATTGATACTTGTAAGTTTCCGTTGTTATAACGTGGGTTGAAGTCATCGACATTTGTTAACATATAAGCTTGTTTGTGGATGCTTCTCGATTATTACCTCACGTTTCATGATGTTAATTATTTTCAGGCAGTATCGAGGTATGGTTGAAGAATCTAGATGATATGGCTCAGAACCAATGTCAGTGGCGCAGATGTATACACAGATCATCTTCATCTTAACACTATACCGATTCTCACCATTTTGTCATTCTTTCTTTCTTTCTTCTCGTACTTTATATATTTTTTTGACTGAATTTTCTTATCTTCATCTTGCGCCTCACTGTCTCTTTACTTGATGTGATGTAGTGATATGAACTGTGGCGACTCGGGCCGTTACGCAGTAATGCCTGATCCTATGCTGATATTGATGATTGATGATGAATATCGAGGTATTCACAAAAGAGCGCGTATGCCAACAGAAGATATTCACTGTCATACAGGAAAATGGATTTTGTTAAACATATTTATTAGACATATTTTGAAGTTAATAACGCATCGTTGTTTAGTATGAATGAATCGAGTTACAGAGGTATCCAGTACTGTGGAGGATGAAAGTATCAGTTTGAATATGATAAAAGCTGCAACAAATCCATTTATGAATTCACACTAAGCAGAGAAATAGATTATGTCGTAAGATTTGTCTGCAAAAATGCTGCCATAAATCCGATCTTCAGACAAAATATGCCATCTGATTAGGTTCAACGCTTCCTTCATTCCTCTGTATGTCCTATGATTAATATTGAACAGTACAGTCAACCTTCACGTTATCATATTATTTTAAAGTTAGTTAAGCTATACTTATTTCACAGTGACTTTCAATTCATCTCTTAACCATTGTTCTAACTATTGCCACTTACTTTTGAATAAGAACTGTTAGAGAAGCGCCAGTTAATGTTATGCTTTCTGTTGAAATGGTTAACTTTTATTTCATAATTAATGTCGATCATGAATACTTTCGTTTTGTGTTTTCTTTTCCAGTAATGTGCTTTTCTACTGATTATGTAGCTAGTGTTGTGTATGTCTGTCTTTTATGGCGTTCAAAGTAAGTTTCTATAGTAGTTAAATATTTTCATGTCTTCAGTATCGTTTCATTCCTGTATGTTCACACTAACGGAAACGGAAAAGCACTCAACCACCTTGTACATATCAGTGCAGTAGGTGATGAAGCAAACCTAGTATGTGTTAGCTAATAATACTACATGTTTGCCCAAACCAATTGTGATGACTTGTCCTAGCGGTTATCAAGATTGCTTTGTTGGCCTCCGTCCTTGTCTTCCCACTGATGCAAACTTGTATCCCAACTCAGTAGCCTAGTGGATAACGCTCTGGTGTTTGACGCAATCTGTCTTGGGTTCGATTCTTATGGAGGACTATGTCACTGAGTGGAAGGCAGGTGTACCTAGCGAACGAGTCCCAAATAGAACGAAACGCGTGTCCTGAATCCCACTACCAGCCACTATCCATCGTTGCTATGATAACTACATTTTTCTGAAACGATTTGTTGGAAACCCGTTCTAATGACTGCATATTCTTTTATCTGGATGGTTTAATTGTAAGAGTTTCATTTTCATAAGGAAAGATAAGTAACATTCAGCATACTATCACATCAGTTGGAGTCTCTGTATGTCTCAGACAACTAAAAGTAGGAGAATTAGTTAAAGTTAACTGAAATCAGTAAGCCGTGCTTAGACGAGACCAAAAAAGATAATTCTCTAAAATGTTGGGTATGCAAAGCAGGAGAAGGAATAGACATATTTCCGCCTTTGAGATGGGTACAGAAACCATCAAATGGATTTGGAACTGGTAAATCAAGTTTGTAGGTAACTAGATTATAAAATCTTATTTAGGGAAGTTATTCAAAAAGTGTTTAAATTACACTTATGCTTAGGTGACCGACATATCTGTACCTGGGAACGAAATTTTAAAAGTGTGGTCATTCGCTAATCGTTTGACTCAAGTTTCCTAAGCTTTTTTTCCTTTCAATTAGGTGTAGTAATCGTGAACATGGATTCAACCGTTACAAGTATCTTAGTTGTCGTGAATCTAAGCTGTTGGTGTGTTTAAGGGGCCCTCAATCGCTTGGGTTCCACTAACACTTTAGTTGAGCAATATTAAGATAAAACTGGTCACTAGACTCATCAGAACTTTAGATTACTTGGGTTCATTGTTTTTGAACGATTTATTCTACCCTTTAACTGAACTTAAGGCCATTCTGTGTATATATTTGTCCTGGCTACTGGTGGAATAATGCACATATCCTGTATAGTGGCTTCTCATCAAGGGTGAGAAAAGCGTCGAATTGAAGACCGGGGAACATTAACTGAATGTTTTGTCTTCATTATTTATCATGCAAACAAGCAGCTCTTTTGAAGATTATGGTTGACTTAGTAACGCTAAATTCTAGGATGATTGGTAGGATTGGTAAGTAGTGCAGTATTGTAAATATGCTATAATGAAGAGCATACCTAAAAAGTTGGGCTTTTCCTAAATCTAAAGGTATTGTCATCAAATGGATATTTGTATTGTTATCTTCTTTAGTATCGAAACTTTGAATTGATTGATTGATATACATAGATGAATGAATGAACTGAAACCAGTTTCATGTTGTCTAGTCTTATGTGCTGACTGAATTTTGTTGATTATTTTACAGTTACGAAACTGAGAGATTCACTATGGTTGTAGCTGATCCGTCTAAATCGTCGAAGTCATCAGGGGGAGGTCAATTGCGGCCCCAGTGGTTCAATGCTGTAGCACTAAGCGATGTCATGACATGAATTCCTTCGAGGTTGCAGATGCGCCTTGCTGATAAATGCCAACAACACAAGGACCATATTTAGGCTTTTCTACTGATCTCACTTAACTAACTAATAAAATCAGTAATATTTTCGTTTAGTGATCGGCTAAGTGGATTAGTTAATTTCAGTGATAAACTTTTAATTTCCATCGAATATTTGAAGGGAAATTGAACTCGTGTTGGTATTCACCATGGACCGGAGTCATTTTAAGGAACGTTGGAAACTTGGAAGCGCTGGACAGCTATTTCGTCCTAGTATGGGACTCCTCAACAGTGCGCACTCATGACTCCACCAGGGATCGAACCCTGAACCAACCACGTGAAACATGAAGACAGTTACTCAACAACCGCACTGGATGGAGGTGGCGCTGTACCATAAATTGGACCTTTATATGCAGACCCAATTGCTCGGTGGTAACCCACCGGCCGTGAAACCTGAAAGTTCTGGGTTCGATCCATAGTGGAGTCATGAGTGTACACTGATAAGGAATGCCATACTTAGACGAATCAGCTATCCAGTGCTACCAGGTTTCCAATGGTTCATTCCATGCTGAATACCAACATGGAATCAATAAGTAAATCCTCATAAACCTCCAAATGAGGAATTAAACTATTTCTGACTTCTTTTTTTGTGTGTTTTAGTTACTTGTTGGATGAACATATGACAAATCGTCGATCAATGTAACGTGTTCCACTTCATTTCATGGGTCATTACTCTTTTTCGGGCTTTCAAATTTATTCTTATTGCGTGATTCCAGTTGTATTTTGTTGTTTATTTTCATTCAGAATAAAAATATAATTTAATCTTGTCTTTTTCTTACGCCTAAACTATTTTTTCATCGTTTTTGAGGCCATTGATTGTCAATATTATAATATTTTGTTTTAATTTATGATTATTTTCGATGTTTATTGGTGCATTTTTCACAATTCTAATGTATAGATTGACAATAGAATGACAAATTTGATTTGTTGTTATTGTTGCTGTTGTTGTGATTGATATCTCAATCAATAGGTGGTCATATATACTGACATCTCTTCTATCCTTTTGTTCTGTTGTGAATTAAATTATCTATATTTTGTTCCAGTGTTATGTAATTTGGTTTTTTGGTTTTGTTTTCTTTCTGTGCAAAGTTTAAAAGGAAACTTGAGTGTTATACTTACTAATTTGTATATTTGTGAATTGTTATATTTTTGTGTTTGTTGGATAAAATAGTTCTCCATTTTTCCGTTACTCATTCATCTTGTAAAAATATGCATAGTGTTTTTGTTTCACTGACTTGAAATTATTTCTCAATCTGAATGACTTGGTTGTTGTTTATGTTGTAGATAATTGCTCGTTGAAGCTATTCAACTAGTGATATTAGTGACCAATCAGGTTATCTGATCCAATTTTGCCGAAAGTCAATCATGGCGCAAATACCTCGGTGATAACGTCACTGAACGGCGTGAGTTCGAATCTCAGAGGGGGGGGGGATCAGTTCCCTTGAGGTTTCAGATGTGCCTAACTGACGAATACCAACAAGCTCGAAACCTTGGTTGAGCAGGGCTTCCTGCCGATTGCCTTCATCCAACTAACCTCAATCAAAGTGCATTGCGATGGTGAGTCTCCTAGCCTGTTGGCCATATTGCAAAATGATCGATAGAATTCGATCAGCACCCGTGACGAGAGAATATAAAGTTGTTTACCTCCCAGCGACTAATCGTTGTACCTAACCCAGTCCTACAGGAGGTTATTCCTGGCCCAAATGCCTCAGTGATAACTGTATCAGTGTGCTACGTGGGTTCGAATCGTAGAGGGGCATCAGTTACCTGGTAATCAACGCACTGATAGGGTTTTTGTTGTGGTTGGTTAAGTTTTATCATACGTACTATAGGTAGATAGTTGTGCTTCTTAATACTAATGGTAGCGTTGGTTTACTAAACAGGAATTTATGCAGAAATAATTATTACGACGAGAAATAAGTTCTAGTTCGCTAACCTAGGTGTTCAACTTGTAAACAGTGCTTTATGGATTCGGACACGACTTGACTCGCTGAACTTTCATTCATTCTCTAGTGTCAATAACTTTCATGTAGAAGGTATGGCTAATAGCCTAGCGTATGGATTATCACATTACTTGTTAAGTTAAATCGAATTTCAGGATAAACTGTAGCAAAGGAGAAAGATATTTCAATAGAAGATTGTAATGTAGGTAATATCGAGGCTTCCGCGCAGAAGGCCATGTATACCAATAGAGACAGACCAATGACGCGACAACATAAAAACTACACCCGTCGCACAACAAGTGGACATCGCGACTCTATGACCTAGATAACCCTATGGTGTTTGAAGCGACCGGTCCTGGGTTCGAGTCGTAGGGAGAACAGCATTGCTCACTAAAAGGCAGGACGAGACGCACGTCCTGAATCCCGTTGTTAGCAGCTGTTCATAATTAGTATCTTAAAGGGGTCTAAAAAATTATCAATGAATGCATGGCTGTTACGATGCTTGTTATTATTTCACGTAACAGTAATTAGTGCTTCTGTGTATGCGTAAGATGTCCGCGAAGTTCATATGCAACTTTTGATTATTCCAAATCAGATACGAACTTTGATCGGCACTTTGTGTTTAATGAAATGGAAAATTGATATATCCTAGTATTTATGGACCTATACAGATTAAAATTGTGTTTAAGTCTGTAGTCTAGCGAATGTCTAGAGTAGTGTGTGGGAATTAGAGGTAGTACCATCAGACTAGTCTACTTCACTGATCATCTGTTTGAAGGGAGAGAAGTCTTCTTGTGACAACCATACGGTAATTGGCTTGACTAATATTGTGTCTAAGTTCCTAGGGTTCGTAGTTATCCAACGGTTGACTGAATCTCGTCAACAGCAAACTCTAGAAAACTAGGCAGGTTTCAGACAAAGTAGTTTGAGGGATATTTTCACCCTCTGACAGGTTGTGAGATGCAGACATACCAGCCAGTGGGTGACACGCCATATTTTTTGGCCCGAAGGCGGCATTTGATTTTGTCGACCGTGAGGTGTGGCACTGTCGGACTGTGAAGGGAGTACGGAATAAATACTTGACGCCAATGAAAGCTCTCTTCTCGAACTCACGCAGCCGTCTCAGGGACTACGGAGAGTCGCCATGTGGATTGACGACAACAAGTGATGTCAGGCAGGGATGTGCACTGTCACCTTTCTTATTAAACTTCTTCATAGGCGTACTAATGGACATTACCTTAGATATGTTTGACTTCACAGGGATTAAACAACTCCTTGCAGGTCATCTGGTTTACTTGGAGTATGCAGACGATATTGTCCTGTAAGATAAAGACACTGACAAGATGCAGGGTCTTCTGGATACAAGCAGAAATCTGAGTATGTTTTTTCCGCATGCATTTATCACCTTTCAAATGTAAGATGATGTTTCAGGACTGGCCTGTTGCAAGTACGCCCAATTTAACGATACAGAGCGAAGTGGTGAAATGTGTCGAAAAATTTCGCTTACTTGGGGAGTGTAATCAGTCTGAATCGCATGGTGGCTGACGAAATCTCACCTTGGGTACAGAAAGCCCACCTGGCATTTGCCAACATATTTTATCTGTGGCACCGACTGGAGAGCTATCTGACTATCTATCAAAGGACGAGTATACTGCACATGAGTGCGTTCTATCCTCCTGTATAGCTGTGAGACATGGCTGTTGAAAGTAGATGATGTGAAGCAATTACAGGTTTTTGATCACAGATGTCTTTATAGCATTGCTTATGTTTGATGGAATCACTGTATGAGCACTGTTGAGGTCAGGCGGAGTGTACTAAATAAGACAGGCAGGTCGATTGATGAGGTTGGGAACCTCAATCAACTGAGATGGTTTGGATATGTACTGTGCATGTCGAGTCACAGCCTATCTCGACGTGGCCCTCTAGCGGAAGCTGGATTAGATTAGAAGAGGCTTCAAGGTAGTCAGACGAACATGCGGTGAAGGCTCTGTCTGTTGGTCCGAGGTGTTTCGGTAGATGAAGAGGGACTGGCTGGGGTCACCAAAGCTGTTGGAATCAGTGGGCAGGACCTCTAAGTGACATGGCTGGAGATTGGTCGCAGTAGCGCAGATGTATTCCATCCTTGACTTCTTCTGAAGCTTGAATATTTGAACTAGCCGTTATCTTCGGATTTTTTATTCTCTCACAAAACGTCTACTTTGATATCACTCTTCTTTTATCCATGTGTTTCTGTATACTACTATGAAATCTGGCAAGTTGAACCGATGGAGTTGTATACGAGATTCTACGTTGATTTTGTCCGTCGGTCTATTATTATCATCCGCATCTTAATCGACCTTATAACTTGTCAAACCATCAATGTAGCGATTGAAAACGGTAGTTCTCGTCAGTATAAGCTATCCACTTAGTAAAATCCGACTAACTGTTTTCATTTAGGACTGGATAGTTTTTCCTAAGCGTTGATCCGAATGTCGGGTTCTAGCTTTGATACTACCATGGGTTTCGACGATGATTGGTCATGTTCAGAACTGCTACTGGCAGATGACTATTCTCTAAAGCTTTCGAATTGATACTGACCTGACTCTCTTTTTAGTTGAAACGAGGTGTTTGCGTAGATAAGAGACAATAAGATTGCGCTTACGCACTGCTTCAAAAACTTAACCACTACTTAGAGTAACAGGAGCCTGTCCATAGGTTGTTGTACACTTGATCACTGCAAGAAATATATTTTTATAGTGATTTTTATGTTATCTATATCTTTCTTCATAAGAAACAGCCAATTCTAGTTGTTTAATGTTCTAAGCGAATTCCTTTGAGTCTTAAGTTAGTTTTTCTCACTGGCACTGCTTCATTTTACCAATCTGCCTACTGCACATAGATTAATATCTTCACCTTACCTGTTCGAGATTTACGATACAAAAGTTGTCATAATTTAGTTCGTTTGTTTGTTAACCAATCATATATACAACCTATCTTTTTTGTTGACAGTCTACCTGTTGGTTGAATGAATTATCATGTTAGCGCATGAATTGAAATGAATAATTACAAAAATAATCCAGGATTTCTTTGCTTTATTCCACATATGTTTAGTGTATGATATGAAACCTGTTAGGACGCGTAGAATCATCTATTTAACTGTATTTCTTGTGAATATGATTCTCTAGCGACTAACATCTTGCTGAACGAAAAGACTTTATTCACTTCATAGTAACTATTATCAGGTAAACTGTAATGACTGGTCGTTGTTCAAATGTTAAACATTAGGTAAGTCTCGAGTTTTGTAGGGTGATCGTGCTATTTCATGAAATGAGAGAAGTAGGAAATGTGGTCCAGTGGATTATCGCCAAGCGACGATGCCAACGGTAACGTACTGGGCATGGAACCTGAAGGTATTTGGTTCAATCCGTCGTAAGATCATAGGCGCGCACTGGTGAGAAGTGCCATACTAGGATGAATCACCTGTTCAGTGCTCCCAAATTCCCAATGACTCTCCACTTGATGTCATTCCATAAAGAATACCAACCTGAAAATAAAGAAGAAATACTCAGTTTTTTGGAAGTTGATTTGCGTTTCTCCTTCCACTTAAATTATTGGTTATCTATCAATCCAACTTTCAATTGATTCTTTTTTATGTGTGGTTCACTTGTCTCTTATTCTAGTCTTTATGTAGAACTGGAAATAAGTATTAATTTTTCCTTTC